GCGCACGATGCCCCAGGACGCGGAGGCGGTCGTGCTTGTGGCGAGCGTCGAGTTGCGTGCGGCGGCCTCGGCGGCGACGAGCGCCGCCCGCACGACGCGCCGCACCTCGAGCGAGAGCCGCGCGCCGTAGGCAAAGTCGGCGCACTGCGTCGCGATCGCGAGCTTGTGCAGCGTGTGCGGCGCGGCGACGTCCTCGCAGACGCCAAAGGCCGCGCCGATGCCCGCGTCGAAGTGGTCCTCGGCGATGACGCCGGCAAAGGTGCAGTTGAGCCGCGTGGCGACCTCGTTCGGATCGGCGTAGTCGAAGACCGCCGGGCTGAGGCGACGGTCGTTGAGCTCGCGTCGAGCGTGCGGGGATGGCTGCGACGGGAACACAGGTGGCGACGGACGAGCCTCGCAAGGAGCAAGCATACCAAAGGCGCAAAGCAGGACCAAGCAGCTATGCGAATTGAACTGCTGGTGGTGAATCTGAGACGGCGTGCGATGGCGGCAACGACGTTCGGCAGGCTCGAGCGAGGCGGCGGATCTCGAGCTGCTCTTGTCGTCTCGGCCGCCAGCCATCCCGAACAGCCGCCAGCTGCAAACGGCGGCGACGAGGAAGGCAGCTGTGATGAAGAGCACGGTCGTTGAGGCTGCAACAAGCGCGGCGCCGCCAGCGACAGTGACCCAAACCGCAAGCGACGGTGGCCAAGCCTTTAAGTTGCGGCGCCACGTCACCGTGCCGACGACGGCCAAGGCGGCGACTGCGGCGGCGACCTTCGGCGGACCCGCTGCGAGCCACGGCATGCAAAAAGTAGGCATGCTTGCTTTTCGGCTTGCGGCGCGGTGTGCTGGCGGTTTGGGAGCAGGCTCGGCGTTTCAACCTCGGGACGGGTTAAAAAAATTCTTGGAGAGTTCACCCTGAATGTGAGGTTGATAACTGCACTCCAAGTGCTCCAAGTTCACCTCGGAAGCCCTGATAAATGAAATGTGCCCATGCCCATGCCCATGCCCATGCCTAGACCGCTAACTCGAGCGAGCCCAAACAGGGCCGTGCCTGCTGCTGATCGACGGCCTCGACGAGGGCGGCGGCATTCGCAGCGAGATTGAGCGCCACGTCGTGGAGGTGCTCGCGCCGCAGGGGCACGTGATGCTGTGCACCTCGCGGCCAGCGGGCGTGGACGAGGAGCGCTTCGCGGGCTTCCGCCGGCTGCGGCTCGCGCCGCTCACCGAGGCGCAGCAACGTCAGGCGCTGATGCAGCGGCTGGGGGCGGCTGGGGTCGACCTCGCCAGCCGTGAACCTGAACACGGCGTCGGCCGGCGCCGAGGCGCCGGCGGCCGTCATCAGGTGCATGACATATTTGTCGCGGCATGCCGCATCAATCTCTCCGTGCTCGGCCAGCTCGTTCGCGAGCCAGTCCGAGGCGACGGTCGTCGCCACGGTGCCCTGGGGGACCGTGGCGCACACCACGCTAGGGCCGCGCCGATATCCGTCGTCCCTCTCTGGGGGCAGCGAATATGTGACCCGAGTCTTGGACCCGGCCTGGCTGCGCGCCCGCGCAGCTGCAGACCGTAGCCCGTCCATCACGTACTCGATGTTCGCGCGTAGCTGCGCGCGCGGGCGCTCCACGCGCTCGGCCTCGCTCGCGGCCGCGCGCTCGCCAGCCTCCTTCGCCCGGCGCTCCTTCTGCCGGTTCTTCTTGGCCTTGCGAGACGCGGCCTTTGCCGCAAGCTGCTCATCTGTGAGCTCCTTCTTCTTCGGCGCGGTGCGCTCGATGTACGAGCGCTCCGCCGCCTTCACCGACTCGCGGTCGCCCGCGGCCTTTTCGTGCTTCAGGTCGACCTCGATGGTCGCGTAGCCAGGCCTTATCACCCTGACACAGGACGCACCGAACAACCTTGCGACACCCACCGCGTCCTCCAGTTGCGCCTTATCGTAGCTATTCCAGGGTCCGCTGCGCATCCCCGGCGGCACGACGGTGGCCGGCGCTTGCGCGCCAGCCCCGTCCGCCACCGGGTCCGCGGCCGCGGTCCCTGTCATAGCTACGCGCGCCATGGAGAACGGCGGGCACTTTGTGGACCATTTCCCCCACTAGCATGTTGGAACTTGGATGATGTTGCATGATGGATTGCATGTAAATAAATAAAGACTAAATATAGCGCTTAGCGGTTTGCGCGTCCTCGCGCGATTGTATGTAACATGCGGATATAGGCTAGTTCCATTTCACTCTGACACGCTAATCTTGAAAACGTCGAACGGAGCTCCGTGTTGCTCCCAGCGCCCTCCCCCGCGCTTCCTGCGGCCCTAGCCGATGGTACTAGCATGGAAGGTCATCTGGCTACCGCGAGAGCGACCCAACTCGTCGACATCGTCCGATGATGGTGCCTCAAAGTCAGCCTTCGGAGGCTATCGTGGGGTCGAGCCGGCAGTAGCCGTGACATGTGGTTCCACCACCCCTCGTAGGCTTTGCCTCTGACCGCCACCGTTCCCAGGCTGCCTAATGGGATGGAAAGAAAGGCTCGGCGAGCGTATAGAAGCGTGCTCGACCTCGTCGTGGCAGCCTGCACGGCAGCGCTGGCAGGCGCGATGAGCGTCGTGCCACCTGACCCGAGACGGGTCGCAGGCGTCGTACCGAGCGCGTCGAGACCGTGTCCTGATGTGATCTGCACGGGTGAGTCACGTCGGCGTCAAAGGAGCGACGTGTGACCTGTCAGAGCTTGATCTCCGATCTCAGCGGCGTCGAGTCGTCTCCGGTGCGCAACAAATGTACCTCCCCAGGACGCGCAGAGGCAGCTGCGACCCGGGCGAGAGCTCTGACAGGTCACACGTCGCTCCTTTGACGCCGACGTGACTCACTCGTGCAGATCACATGAGGACACGGTTTGACGTGTACGGTCGTGGCCTGGCACCGTTCAGGACAGATGAAAGATGTCTTATGCCGTAGACATTGCGCGCGCACCT